AAAGGCAATAGGGATAGAGATAATGGGTTGGGTTCATAGTCTATGCTATGCAATAAGACTTGATGATTGGTTATATGCAACAGACAAAGAAGAATGAAGTCCTTAGAAAAATTATGGGTCAAAGATGATACTGCTATAATCCAATGGGTAGAAGATGATACCGCTATAATCTAAAATGGGAAAAACAGAAGTAAGAGTAGATTTCTTTGGGGGAATCAGATAAAGTGGAGAGATAATGAGCTCAGTTTTAGTGTAAGAATACTTTAAGCATGTTTTCAGGAGCCAAAATTCTGTGCATCTAATCTGAGTTTTGTGTCCTATTCACAATCCAGTGCTAGGAAAGTCAGTGAAACTCAGTTTACTCATCTATAAAATGGAGATACTACTACAATCTCGCTCATAGAATTACCATGAAGTTAAAATTAGATAACACATGTAAATTATTGAGAACACTATCTGGTATGTGGTTTATAATGCTATTTTAATTTCTTTTTAATGATATTATAAGACATTTAATTGGGCATTTGGACATATAGGCTTGAATAGAGAAAGAGGTCTAAGCTACAATTATAAATCAAGAGAACCAGGGCCGGCGCCATGGCTCAATAGGCTAATCCTCCGCCTAGCAGCGCCGGCACACCGGGTTCTAGTCCCAGTCGGGGTGCCGGATTCTGTCCCGGTTGCCCCTCTTCCAGGCCAGCTCTCTGCTGTGGCCAGGGAATGCAGTGGAGGATGGCCCAAGTGCTTGGGCCCTGCACCCCATGGGAGACCAGGAGAAGCACCTGGCTCCTGCCTTCGGATCAGTGCGGTGCGCAGGCCGCAGCGCGCCGGCCATGGCGGCCATTGGAGGGTAAACCAACGGCAAAGGAAGACCTTTCTCTCTGTCTCTCTCTCTCTCACTGTCCACTCTGCCTGCCAAAAAATAAATAAATAAATAAATAAATAAAGAGAACCACTAGAATATTGTTGGATATTAAAGTTAGAGATGCAATGCAATTAAGTCAACAACAGGAGTCACTGTGTACTTACTCCTCAAGTGGGATCTCTGTCCTTAATGTGTTGTCCAATGTGAATTAATGCTATAACTAGTACTCAAACAGTACTTTACATTTTGGGTTCTGTTTGGGTGCAAACTCATGAAATCTTTACTTAATATATACTAAATCGATCTTCTGTATATAAAGATAATTGAAAATGAATCTTGATGTGAATGGAATGGGAGAGGGAGTGGGAGATGGGAGGGGTGCAGGAGGGAGGGAAGTTATGGGGGGGAAAAGCCATTGTAATCGATAAACTGTACTTTGGAAATTTACATTTACTAAATAAAAGTTTAAAAAAAGACATGCAGTTAAGAGCATTCATGGAGAAAATAAATGTGCATGTCTATGAGGGAATATATACTTATTTGTATATGTGCACATGTTTATATAGTTGTATGTATAAAACGATAAAAAGAAGACCAAGGAGAGACATAGGGAACAAAATATCAGGGAAGTAATAAGGGAAGAAACACATCAAAAAGGTAGAGAAAGAACAGTTAAAGGTAGTCAGAGCAAGGAGACAATGTTACCTCTAGAGGCAAGGGATAAAAAACTTTCAAGGAGGGAGGTGATCAATTAACTGGGACTGGAAAAGGGCCCCTAGAATATTCTATTGGAGGATCATTGGGAATCTTGCTGTGAACTGTTAAATGAGTTGTGAAAGGCAACTGTAAAAACAGAGAAAAAAATTATGTTATTTGAGAGATGTAGACTATAAAACAAGAATGGTAGATGAGAGAATAGTTTGAAGGATAAGTCAGATCAAACAAAGGTGTCACAGGGGGGAGAAACCTGGAGGATGCTATTAAGCTGGAAGGAATTCAATGAAGAAAGAGAGAGCATATGAAGATATATGATGTATTTTATACCTATTCTTTGAACTTTTGACAGTAATGAAAATCTTACCACACATACAAAATTTCACTTTAAAGGTGAGCTAGAAAAAAATCTGTATGAATGATCTGCTTTCAGTAGGATAACAATAGTTAACTGTAACATATTATATATTTCTAAATAGCTAGAAGAAAGGCTTTTAAATGTTGACACTACAAAGAAATCTTGAATATATGAAGTGATAGATGTTAAATATCCTAATTTGGTCATTAGAATGTATGCATGTATCAAAATATTACACTGTATACCATAAATATGTACAACTATTGTGTGCCAATAAAAACAAATAATCTAAAAAATTTTAAAAAATCTGCTTTAAAGTTCCATAAAAAAGTATGTAGTGTTTATTTTAAAATGTAATTAGTCCTGTATTTTAACAGAATTACTTCCTGAGACTGTAATAACATTTTAAGAAGTCTCAGGATATTGCAAGAACAGAAAAGTCATTCCATTAAAATACACCACTAATTATATTTTTGAAACAACAGATTCAAACTTTTGCTTTCATTTCTGCACTCTCTATATATACTTTTGAAATTTTAGAGGATATTTTTAGTCATGTTAAGTACTCCAAATAAACAAACCCACTTCACAATTCTTGTGAGTACTAGGATCTGTATATAACATATTATTAATTATTTTGGCTCATTAAAGTAAGAAATGTCAAACCGTGGTTTGAACACATTTGCATCTATAATCAGTATTTAACAATTTCTTAAATACTTAGCAAGGTTCTATAATTCTTCGACATGTTATCTGTCAACAACTTGACACTTTTATCATTCCATTCTGTCCAGCTACCAAAGGCTATCAAACATCAATTCCACCTCACAGTGTAGAGTGAACAGTTCCTTCCTTGGCAGAGGCGTCACTTTAAAAGACAGGAAACCCAGTATACAAATGTTGGCTTCACAAAGACCAAAGTTCAAATAACAGTTCTACACCTTAACAGCTGTGTGATTTCTAAGTGTGTTACTTAGTCTCCCAGTAACTCAGCTCCCTTGTAAGTGAACTGGAGACAATAATACTTATCTCACAGAGTTGTGCTTAAAAACTCACTTAAAGAAAAGTTTAAAATATGTAAATGTACTGGGCTCAAGTATGGCAAGCTGAGTATAAAATGTAATAAAAACTTTGAATTATAACTAATTTATTTCATTTATCCTAAATAAATTTGGCAAGAGAAGTACAAATGTATCCATATATTTGAAAGTCAGTGAAATTTAGTTGGGTAAACAGAGCAAAGTAACAAAAACAAAACTCTCAAGAAGTGATTTTAAAAAGTTTTTAACATTTTGATAGAAGTATAAAAATTTACTGAGATTAAATGTTACATTAAGAAGAAATATATTATAAAAAGGAAAATACTACAAAGAAATATACTAATTTTTGAATATAATGCATTCTACATAAAAGGCACACTATAAAAGCTTAACCAAAGTGCTTACTATATTTGCAGTAGAAAAATTAATGGACAACAAAGATCCTTAAGTATGTGAAGAAGTATTACAGTTTTTTAACACTACAGATTCCCTTTAGACAAGTCAACTCATCTATCTGATTCAGTTTCAAATTCTGGCCAAAAACGATACAAATATTTCATAATACAGTACAAAATCAAAGAACCCACTGGAATGGTTTCACACCAGATAAGACATTTTAATATTTAAATACCCACTACTGGAGCCACTGTTGTGGCACATAGGGTAAGATACTGCCTGGGACACTGGAATCCCATATGAGTGTTGACATCCAATAAGAGGGCTGGTTCCAGTCCCAGTTGCTCCCTGATAGTGTGCTTGGGAAAGCAAGAGATGATGGCCCAGTGTTTGGACTCCTGCTGCCCACAAGGGAGCCCTGGATGGAATCTCTGGCTCTTGGTTTCAGTATGGCCCAAATGTGGCTGTTGCAGCCATTTGGGTAGTGAATCAGCGGTTACAAGATTTATCTTTCTCTTTATTTTCTTTCTTTCTTTCTCTCTCTCTCTCTCTGTACCCCCTACCTCATAACTCAGCCTTTAAAATACATAAATATTTTAAAAATGTACACCCACTACTGAATAATTTGATAAAGTTAAATGTGGACCTATGTTGTTGTCTTTGTTGAGTGACAATGCAAGAGCTTAAGAAACATTTTTACAGAGAGTTTTCCATGGTGCATTAAAAAGTATACATTGTCTAAAAGAAAGAGAACAGTACCAGAGACCAAAATACCTAGCACCAAATTCTGATCAACCTTGCCTCCTTCTTCACAAACTGCATCACCTTAGACAAGTTATTAAATCTCACTTAGCCAATTCATCTCGAAACCAAAACAGAGATAATCATACCTATACAGTAGGGTTATTGTGAAAAATAAATAACAGATGGAAACTAAAATGTTTAGTCCAGGACCACATAGCATTCACATGATCAATGAGAATAAGTTCATTCCTCAAAAACAAAATTTTCATTCATAAAATGTTCATTTCCTGAAACCATTTAAGAAAAGACTGCAAATTGTTTTCTCCAGAAGATTTTTTAAAACATTTTTTACTTATATAAGGTGAAGAAATTTCATGTATTTCATATATACAGATTTAGGAGCAAAGTGATAACTTCCCATCCTACCCTCCCTCCTGAGTCTACACAGGGCTAGCAGATGAATCCTGACCTAGGAGTAACAATACAATTCCCATGTTTTTTCCATGACAGAGTGGTGTGTTTAACTTTCTTAAATTTCTCCAAGCCTACGGATTTCATCAGGACTTGTTAGGATAATGGCATTGCCAGAACTGCTTGTTCTTTTGCCACGATTACTGCTAAGGCTTCGATTTTCCTGATTTATTATATTAATTACTGAATTTATACTCAGATATAAATGATAGTCATAACTGTTATATTTAAAATAATTCAGAAGTATTTTCCCAAATTTAAAACAAATTATTATTGTCACAAACAAAACAACAGGAAGAATGTTTTTTTACATTCCATTCTATTTAAATGCCAGCTAAAATGGAGTTGGTGTTTTACAAAATGAGTACTCTAAATATACATCTAGAAACAATGTAAGATAAAACTAATTCACCTGTAATTGCAAGGCTTCATGATTTTCTAATCCTTCAACAATTGGTGAAAATCGTTCCCTGTTATTTCTTTCTGCTGCTGTAGTTATAGCCCCTAAAAGTTTATCTAAACTGTAGAGGGGGAAAAAAAGAAAAGAAAAAAAATGAGAACTGCATCCTATACACACATTATGCTCATGAGTTATTCCTATAGATCTTACCTGTTTTTCTTTATGATGCTTGATTCTTACACAAACCACCACGATTTTTAAAATTCTTTCTTTTGAATTGACAAAAGTGTACATATTTATGGTTCCAATATAATGTTCTGAAATGTGTATACATTGTGGAATGGCTAATTGAAGCTAATTAATATATTAATTACCTCACACACTTACCTTTCTTTTGTAGTTGAAGCACTTAATATCTACTCTTAGCTATCTTCAAGTATACACTACATTGTTACTAATTATAGTCACCACAGGGTACATGAGATCTCTCAAATTTATTCCTTCTGTCTAACCAAACCATCATTGCAATATAAGAATCATGTTGCCATCCACTATTTTTTTTTTAATTTTCGAACTTTAATCTTTAATTACTTTTTAACGGATTCAATGTGCTTTGTAGATACAATTCTAAGAACATAATGACATTCCTTCCTGCTTCACTCCCTCCCTCCTTCCCTTTTTCTCCCTCCCACCCTCCTTGCTTCTCCCTTTCTTTCTTTTTTATTAGTTTTTAAGTATGAAATGTACATCGCAGCAAAGGCTTAACACCTCCCCAAATAAGTAGTTTAACAAGTAAAAAGCAAAATGACCCTAGTTTAGTGGGAATATAGGCAACAGTTATTAACAATAATTGAATGGCCATCCATATATTTCTACAAGTTAAATATTGATAGCTTAAAAAATACTGAAAGCAATCATTCTACATGATATTTTAAAAAGAATATTTCAGAAAAAATGAATATGTCATTGAGACACACTGAAACTGAAATGTTGAGGTTTGATATTTCATGTGTTAATATATATTAAAATCAATTAAATATAGCATTTACAATTATTTTGTATTATTTTAAAAGTATACACAGACTTAATAATAAAGTGTAAACAGACTATAATATCATAATAAAGTACTGGAAAGAGTGAATATTTTAAAAAGAACTTAAAAAACAACAGTCTTTGATAATGGAACAGAAAAAACATAATCTAAAAGAAAAATCCAGAAAACTAAAGAAGTAACAATAATTATTTAGCATAGGAATCTTATTTACCAAAAAATAAGATCTGGTAACTATCTCCATCCAATGTCAAAATCAATTAACCTCTAAATAGTAGGCTATTACTTTCAAATGATATGTAAGCTATAATTAAAATATAACAAATATAACAGTCTAGGTTGTATTTATAAATTAAGAATTGACAACATAATTAAGAAAATATTTCTGACTCATATATAAACCGACTATTCTCTAAAACCTAAGGAAACTCAACAATTGCACACATTATATGTCAACTGGTTCTCATTGAGATAAGATTTAATGCTAGATTATATCTTTGTTTAATGTTTGTGTTTTGGTTTTCAAGGACATTAACTAGCTCTAAGAAAATATTCATTTTATTCTAACAGTGATAATAAAGTTTACATGTTAAAATATCATTAGATCTTCACATGGCCCTGTTCTGACTCAAATTTAAATTATTACTGTCATACAAAGTGTTCAGAAGACATATTCTAGTTCATGTTCTTAGCAGACATTCCATTGTTCATCACAACATTTTGACAAACTGGACTTACTAATGACAGCAAAGCTTAAATGTTCTTCTGATTCAATATTCTTTCCATAAGAACATATGATCTAATGAATCTTCATCAACAACTTGCTGAATTTGGTACATATATGCACACTGAATAATTATCAACAACCCTTTGGTCTTTCTTTTTAGCAAGTTATTTCACTCTACAAATGATTACTTCATCCTTTCATTTACCACATGGAATGTAAAATGTGAAGCAATAGCCCAAAATAAAAACATCTAATCTATTCAATTAGTTAAAGAATTAAATTAATTAAAAAACTCAGAATAGGGTGAATTTCATGAGTGACTGTATGAGTGTATGAGTGTGTGTGTGTGTGTGTGTGAAAGTAATTTTTGTATCTACTTTTCTAATAACTGCTTTAGCCTCAGCAAGATAAAATTCTATTCTTCTTGAATTCAATTTTGAACAATTTCCCATTAGAACTCTATCAGTTTAAACCTAGTTTTCATAATATCAACAAAATGCTAAAATATAGACAAGATAAAAAATCAATCAAATTTTTCAAAAATCTAATACTCTTCATGCAGTTTATCGAAAGAAAGACAACAAAAGTACTTACTGACTTTTGAAATGTCATTTTACTTGCAGTCAATAAAACAATATAGCTATACTTACATGTTCTCTTCTCCAACAATGCAAATAGCAGAAAGTATTTTTACTATTTCAGTCATCATGTTAGGTTGTTTGGGGTCAATTGCTCGTGCCAATAGTAAAAGACTTCTTTCATCTCCTAGAATCCTTTGCAAACCAAACTAAAGAGGGAAAAAAGAGCCTTTATTCAAAATCAACATGTCTGTGGAACATAGGTTTAATGGCAAAACAAAAAAGCTTACAATGAATTTCCAAAAACCCAGACGTTCACAGAGATTCTACCTAATTATGTTAATGTTTTTAAGTGCAGTTATTTGTCTTTATTTTTTATTTGAATGACTATATCTCAGAAATTTTGTTTCTTAATTAAATATACCTCCCATAAACATCTGGAAGAAATTTGGGAACAATAAGCAGTTATTTAACAAAGAGCAACATATAAAACACATAATGATATTTTCTAAAGTAATTCTATGTATGTCACTGAGTCTCCCTGGAGATGTCTGGAATTCATCTGTCCAATATGTTTATGTGGAAAGTTGTAGTGATTAAAAAGCCAAAAATGTCTTGTATACTACATGCCAGTTAAAGAAGCAATCAAATCCCCATGCTTTCTCACTCTTATTCTTCCCCTTTTAGGCAATCATATGTCAATACAAAAGCTGTGAACTCAAAGAACTGGCACCTGAGTTCTATTAAGTGTCACCTCCACTAACCAGATGGAAAAGACACCTTTGTCATTTGTTTTCTAGACATGAATACGTGGATGTGCAAATTATAATAGATAGTAAAGATGTAAAAGGAGGCCTAAAACTTGGGTTTTCATTACATAAAGAAGAGAAATATATCAGCAATCCAAACATCACAGCAATATTATAACAGCAGATTAAGAACAATGGGTTGGGCCAGCACCATGGCTCACTTGGTTAATCCTCTGCCTGTGGCGCCGGCATTCCATATGGGTGCCAGGTTCTAGTCCTGGTTGCTCCTCTTCCAGTCCAGCTCTCTGCTGTGGCCCAGGAGGGCAGTGGAGGATGGCCCAAGTGTTTGGGCCCTGCACCCGCATGGGAGACTAGGAAGAAGCACTTGGCTCCTGGCTTTGGATCGGCGCAGCACCGGCCATAGCGGCCATTTGGGGAGTGAACCAATGGAAGGAAGACCTTTCTTTCTGTCTCTCTCTCCCACTGTCTATAACTCTACCTGTCAAATAAATAAAATAAATAAATAAAGAAAGAACAATGGGTTGCTTTAATAATCCTATTACTACATGCACTAAATAAGGGAGATGAGTTTTGATTTGTGTGCCACAAAGTATTTCTTACATTTCTTATAAAACATGTTTGCTTCATTTTATAGTCTAGTGGTGAAAGCTGATAACTTTTCACCAGAATAAAACTACCAATTTAAGCTAACCTTGAGTAAAATATCAAATATATGAATAAGTCACTCCAGGAATTTTTCCTAATTTAACTTCTAGAAGAACTTGTTGTGGGAAACAGAGCTAAAGCTCTTATATATGATGTTGCCACAGATAATAATAAATGAGGAAATATACAGAGATAAGACAAGCAAAAAGGCAAACAGAGATGGAAGAGACAAGACTGTAAAAAGCAAACAAGGGAATAAGTACATACAAAGATGGCCAGGAACCAATAAAATATAAGGAAGATAAGTAAACAATTTGTAGATAAAACTGAGAGATGATTACCAATTACCAAACTTAAAATAACTTAGAAACCAATTAGACTGAGAGTGAAATCATTTAAATTTTCAAATTTTCATTTATTATTTAAAACTACATTCTAACATGAAGGGACATATTGAAACAAAATGAAGACATGTGAAATATATCTGGAAAACCACCAATCCAAACATCACAGCAATATTACGGCAGTAGAATTTAAGGAACAATTTTGTGGTCTTATTACTACATGAACTATCAAAAGGAGAAGTTTTGAAGTAGGCAATCTATTCTCCAGGGGTCCCAAAATTTGATGGTTAAGTCATTTCAGATGAAAGTTTCCTTACTTGATTTGGATAATTTGTTCAATACAAAATGGACACATCATTGTATATTTTCTCTTTTGAAAGCATATTTTATGCCTATTAATTCATATGCCCATAATTTAAAAGATCTAATTTTTCATGTTCTGAGCCCCTCATATATGAAGGACATCAACATGGGACAAATAAATTTAACCTTAGTTTAGATAAAGTAAGTTATATCATAACCTTCTTCAACAGTATCAAACTCTTAATAAAGGAAAAACTATGTTTTCACGTAGCAGAGTATGTCCTGTAGAAAAAGGCTCTGTAAAAATTCCATTCACATGACTTTCCCTAGTGACTACCATGGTTACAATTACTTAGTATTCTGGAAAGCTGTGAAAGCTGACAAGGTGAGTCAATAAGAATTTAGAACAAAATTTCAAAATGTGCAGACTGATAGCCAGAAAGGTCAAGTGATTTTCCAAAGGCCACTCAACTTATTAGTGGTAAAGCACAAACTGTATCTCCTCATTTCTAGTACTGTGTTTCCTTTCCATTATGTCATTATTTTCCTCAGTTGAAGAAATATTCATCTTGGCGCTATGGAGAAGTAATGTTCATTAAGTGATTTCTCATTAGGCATCAGATTCTGCATAACTTTGCAGTCACACACAGGGTAACAAAATGGGAAATTCTGTACTAGACTGACAAGCATCTTTCTCTAAGAAACTTTCAGAAACAACACAATTAACACATTCTATATGGGAGTCTCATGTTCACTGGCAAGCATCTATTACACAGGGCAATGGTCTCTGCTGATTCATATATGTATAACATAAACACTTATGTGTAGTTTTGAAAACTTAGACTGCAAATTACTTAAAAATACAATGTTATTGCATTGATTATTAACAACTGTACTTCACATTTGGAAGGTTTCTGTTTATAGTTATAATTATTTCTACTAAGTATTGTATGATCTTTAAAATACCATCTAAGGTAATTATGTGATTAAGTGAATTAATCCTTTATATTCTACCTGCAGGTATAAAGAACAGGAGAATAACAAAAATAGCTTATACAGGGGTTTTGCCTCTCTTGGACTCACCACCCCGCCCCCCATGTCACTCTGATTGGAGGTCTCTGACTTAAATAAATCTTGCTTTTAAATCCTTGCCTTGTCTGCTTGGAAATTCTTCTTCCATGTGAGACAAAGAACTGGGGTAATATTTTCTCTGCCACCATTTCACCCATAACATTTTGGTGCTGTGACTTGGATAACAACTCCAACGTGACACGGATCCTGCTTTAGTTGACTCCAGCCAACGTCGGATTATCTCCTCGCTGGGTGAGCATACGGACTGCTCTCGCTTATTTTCCAGAGAGTTTTACTCTCTTCCATAGTAACTCTCTCATTTTCTCAAAAACACTGGGTCCCTGTCGTCAGTTAAAAGTATAATATATAAAGTATAATAGCACAGCTGCCATTTTTAAGACTCATGAGCTAGGCTTGCTGATTTGACCAGAGCAATCCCCTGGAGCTGAGACTCGACTCTAACCCCTCTCTTGGGTGTGGATTGGCCCTTTGTAAAGGGACTTGGAAAAGGCTTTGAGATGACTTAAGGACTTTTGCTGGGGCACTCCCCAGTGTGTCCTGAAAATCTCTTGGCTGGATCCCAGTACCTGACAAGCTCATGTGGGCACTGGGCTGTGAAACACCTCCCCTCCCTCTTGCATGGATCAACCCTTTCCGTGACTGGGAGAAGGCCTTGAGACAACTGGTGGATTCTAGTTAGGGTCACACTCCAGTGCTTCCAGAAAGTCTCTTGGTTGCACACCAGACCACAACAGCTGGAATGGTGCTGGACTGGGAAATGCACTTTCCTGCAAGGAGCAAGTCCCCTGCTCTTTTGGAATCCTCACAAGCTATAAGGCCAGAGGTTCCACTCTTTATGTTTCTTGTCTCAGCTCTGGGAATGTTGGCCTGGTCCAACTCAGCTTCCTTTCACAGGGGATAGGCCTGCTCTGCGGGTCTGGGAGAAGGGCTTAGAGTAACCTTGAAATTAAGGTGAGGGTCACACTCTGGCATTTTTCAAGGACTCCAACAGCCCATTACAGTGTCAGCCAAAAACTGAATTCTGTTCATCCTTCCTCAAAGATAAATTTGTCAACGAGACTGGGCACAGCTTGGAGCAAGGCCATGGGCTCCAGGCTCCATGCGTCAATGAGTTTTCCCTTTACCTCAGATAGCAACAAGATCTCCATCTCTCTCTCTGCGCCTCTAAATCCTTTACGTACTTTACCAGGTCTCCTCAATTCCTACAAACCAGATTTCCTTGTCCCATGAAGCAGGTATTTCCTAGATATTTTGTTGGTTAGTTCTGGGTCAAAGTTTAATTATCCCTTTTGCAGACAGGCAGCTTTTGGATCTAGATTCCCAGTAAGTCCCCACATAGCCTGAACTTGTGTAGATAAGTCTCAGCACGTCTCTGGTATCCCCTATCTTCCTTCTCAGGTCTCTTCTTTTGGGTCACTTCTGTCTTGTCTTTCCTATGTAGTATATACCTCAGAGGAGATTTACTGGGGACAATTTTATCCCCCACTATGCTTCTTTGTGACATCACCTGCCTAGTTACCAACCTAGGCAGTAACCAGGACTGGTACTCTCTCACTTAAAAACACCTCTGCTAAGGCTCTCACCATGAAGGCTCATTGTCAAAGTCAAGCCCATCAGATAGGAATCAAGATTAAGAGGCATAGGACAACTATTTTTCCTTTTGTAGAAGAACAAAGTGACAGTATATATTTGACCAGGCAGAGGCCCAGGCTAGCATACCACCAGTAAGAACAGATGGCTCCCTGCATGTGCTATTCAGACAAATGTATACCGTAGGCTATGGGCGTGGAAGACTGAGTAAGAGTGGGTGATATGTGTTAATTTCACCCTCACCTTACTCCCTTCCCTGTGAGTTTCAGTGCATATCTGGATGCCACAGGCAGCAAGTTTTGAGAGACGTCTCAAACTTAGAAGAGATAAGAACTGGGGGACGCTTACATTTTTATGCTCATTAGACTAGGCATTCCCTGGGGAGGCCTCCTTAAGACTTTGGGACTCCTTTGACCCCTGAACTTACAGAAAAATGATTCATCTTTTTCGGCACCAGCATCTGGCCTGGTTATGAACTAGAGGATGGAGAGATTAGCCTGAGTTGTGAAAAGTGCCAGCCCATCTACTCTGGCTCCATGTCTCGGAACTCTGTCTTCCAAATGATCTCTTGCCTCTACTTCCCTGAATGTCCTCCAATATGTATTAAATTCTTTTCCAGAGTCACGGGGTTCTTGGGTCTGTTCCTTAGTGAGCCACCAGAGTCCCTCTGTTATAGTGTTTGATTATTGAGGCTTTTGATCCAGTGGAGGGGAGTTTCTATCAGGTGACCATTGCCCCATGATTGTAATTTTGCCCAGGGGTTTCCAGGCAAGAATCTAGGGAGCAAATGTGAGGAGTCAGACAGGTTAATAGGAAGACATGGTGGTCCTGGTGGAAACTGAAGGTGCAAAATGCTTTCTTTCCTCAAAAGCTACCTTTAGCAAAATTAAAAGTGCCTGCCCCATTCCTTAGGCGCTTCCAATCTTATCATACTAATAGCAAGGGAGTTGTGACTCCACCCTTCTGAACACCCGATTTACTGTAAAACAGATTAGGTATCCCACTCTTCTGATGGCTCTTTTGTTTTATCATGAGAATGCCAGCCAGGGTGAAAATACTTTTTTGACAGGCAGACTTAGACAGAGACAGAGACAGAGAGACAGACAGACAGACAGACAAAGGTCTTCCTTCCATTGGTTCAACTCCCAAACGGCTGCTACGGCCAGCCTGCTGTGCTGATCCAAAGCCAGGAGCCAGGTACTTCCTCCTGGTCTCCCATGCGGGTGCAGGGCCCAAGCACTTGGGCCATCCTCCACTGCCTTCCCGGGCCACAGCAGAGAGCTGGACTGGAAGAGGAGTAACCGGGACAGAATCCCAGCGCCCCAACCAGGACTAGAACCAGGGGTGCCGGCGCCGCAGGCAGAGGATTAGCCTAGTGAGTCACGGTGCTGGCCACAAATCAAGTGTTTTGTTGTTTTTTTTTCCCTGCCTTGTAACTGAATGTCGAGTTGATAAGTTTTTTTCTTCCCTGAAATTGTGCTTAAAAAACCCCACTACCACCAGCCCCTTGAGGTTTTATCTCTCTTGCAGCCCCCCTTCATGCCCCTCTGGCTGGAGGTCTCTGACTCTAGTAAATCTTGCTTTTGAATCTTAAAAAAGAACAGTTTATAAAGAAAATTAGTATTGTTTCATAACCTGAGCACAAACTATTTTTATAAGGAAAAGCATTGTCTAAAAGGTCCCTTCCAGAGAACTTCTACTTTGCTTATGGCCTTGTAGAGCCAGTGAATCCAAGAGGTTTTCATCACCGAGGCAGGTCATGTCAAGAGCCTTGGGTGATCACTTAGATCCTACATAAGAGTATAATTTGTTGTTAAATAAACAGCAAAATTCACTGTATACTAACTTCCCATGCAGGACCTCTGATCTCAAAGAGTTGTATCATGAGACTTAATAGTAAAATTTGTTCTCAAGAATCACCTCCTTTTACTATGTTTCATAAGTTAAAGTTACGTCTAACAGCTCACAAGAGATGTATCATCCTTGAGTTCTTCTTTAAAGATAATTAAGTTTCTAAAAGGAAAGAAGGGGGAGGAAGGAAAGGAAAAGCGGAAGGGGGAAAAATAGCAATAACATAGAACAGCCCTTGTCTAAACTGTTGAGGAACAGTTCTCTTAGTTTTTTTATTCCAATTTTTCTCTTTTTTTCCTTTCTTTCTGTTTCTTTTTCTTTCTCAAACTAAGCAGGAGAGGGAAGAGGGAGTGGGGGGGGGATGGGTGGGAAGGCAGGTACAGTGGGAAGAATTATTCTCCTAATGCTGTATTTATGAGATACAAATAAAAAAATAAGAAAAGGTCCCTCCCAACACCACTGGTATTATATTTTTTTTTTAAAAAGCCCCTGCCATGTTCTAGAGATGTATACCAACTGACATGAATTGAACTTAAAAAATAAAAATCTTAACTTCTTCTATGGTTTGAAAATAATTTGGCTCCCAAACTAAGGCAGCCATAAGTTAATGGTATTGAGAGGATAGAACCACAATCCAATTACAGTTGGGAGGTAGGTTTGCTGGGAGATCTTTTGGATAATTGGGGGCATGCCCTTGGAAGGCAGTTCTCATGAAAGGATTGCTTACAAAGCCTGAGCAGGGCCCAGTTTCGCTGCTTCCTGGTGCAGCATGTGATCCTTCCTTTGCACATGCTTTGCCTTTGGTCATCTGCTGCTCTCATCAGAGGCCAAACCAATGGGTCTGCCCAATAGTAGATTTGACCATTCAAAAGTGAGTAAGTGAGCAAAGAAATTTTTTATCTTCATTAGTAGTTTGTTTCAGGTACTTCATTGTAGTAACATAAAGTTAATACAAGTGTACAATGTTCTTTGCAAATAAGTCAAATAATACCCTTGAATTTTCCTTTTCAGTGGAATAGGAACTCTAATATGGAAATAGTATTCAGTACATGACATTTCAATTTTCCTTCTACCACAGAAGAAAAAATATATTGCCTAATTTGGGAACAAGGCTCCTATGCTTGCATAAGTACAAAAACCTATCAACAAATATTTTTGAAGGAAAGTATATTTTAAATATTTAAATGAAACATATGATGATTTGCATTACAAAGACCCTTTTGTAAACTGAATTACCACCAACTATTTTGTCTATTTCATACTTGCTTACTGTCAGGAAACTTCTCACCTTTTGTGACAAAGGAAAAAATAAACACTACTTACCTTATTATTCATAAATGCTTTGAGACATTGAATAAGTTTATACTGATTCTTCTTGTCAATGTTTTCTTGTCTAGGTAAAAGAAAAACATATTATGCTATGCTTAAAAACTTCCCCTCTGTTGAATTTTTATAAATATTTTAATCTTACTGTTTTTTGTCCAGAAGCTTCTCCAGTACATCCAATAAGAGTCCAAGACCTTCATGGCCAAAGTTGTTAACCCAGCTGAGAAATAAACAAAAACCAAGTATGTATGAATAAATATGTATGCTAAAACATGAAATATCACAAAGGAAATTTCGTTTTTCAAATCTGATAATCCAGTATTAATATTACTTATTATTCTGTTTTCCTACTCCCATCAATTCAATTATAGACTATGGGAAAGACTGAGGTCTTTACCTCAGTTCCAGACCTCTTCACACTTTACATTACCCCTTAGGCAGCACGGATCTGATTGTTCTCCTGCATCATATACTTAAACCTGCATTTATAAGCTGAATTTCTATTCCTCTCTCTCTACTCTTCCAAGTTAACTGTCCACTCTTCAGAATCAAATATTCTGCTGAAAACATCTCTACCTTGGAATCTTTCAGACTTCAAATACTGGCATAACTTTTTATCCCCATCTCATTCACCCTTGCATTTATCCTGTTATTCATTTATTCTCCTAAGTACCAAGCCTACTCTAGGTCAGCACGGGGAACATTTTTTCTTCTGGGGCAATTTGGATATTTATAACATCACTCATGGGCCATATAAAACTACCAACTTAATTAGCCTGATATTAATGCCAGAAATTAGCCTGACATAGTTTTATTCAAGTTTTATTTCTAACTGCAGTCGCCTGGGCAGGACCAGAACAAATGATTTGTACATCTTTCATAACCCATGAGCCAGACATTCCCTACCCCTGCTTAGGGGACAGAGATATAACTGGTAACAAAACTAAACCCTTATCCTCATGGAGCTTATTTTCTCGAGGGAGGGAAACAGATGAAAAACACATCACTAACTATATAAGAAATTTCAGTGCTTTGATGCAATGAAGAAAAATAAACTTTGATAAATGGAGTAAAAGGGAATCCAGGATGCTATTTTTCAATGTATGTTCAGGGTTAAGATTTTTCCATAATATAATATTTGAGCAGAGCACTGAAGAAAAATTGTTTCCAGTAGAAGGATTAAGGGCGACTTGGGGGTTTTGAGGTATTAGCTAGTCTGTTTGGCATGTGCCATAAGCTGTAAAGAGACCAGTGAAGTGAGAGCTGAGTGAGCAGGCTTGGGGAAGTGGCAGCAAATAGATACACATGTGGTAGAAGGCTGAAAAACTGACCACGTTTCACTTTGTGGCATTCAGTCATGAATATCCTGTTTCCAGAATAACTCCTCCAAATGCCCTTCCCTCCTTTTCATTGTCCATACTAACATTTTAGCTTAGCCCCAACGACAGTTCCTTCAGCATGATCAAAACTGGGATCTCTGAAGCTGCATTCTTTCTTTTCCCTCATTTTACAAAATGTGAGGTTAAACTGCATTTAACCATAGTTTTCTGTCCAAAAATTTCCCCTGAATCACATAATACATTATTTAAGAAGCTTTGTTTTTATTTATTTGAAAGGCAGAGAGTCTGAGAAAGAGATCTTCCAGCTGTTGTTTCACTCCTCAAACGGGCACAGCAGCTGGAGCTGGATCAGATTTAAACAAGGAACCTGGAACTCCATTTGGGTCTCCCACATGGATGGCAAAGGGTGCAAGCATGTGGACCATCTTCAGCTACTTTCCCAGACTCATTAGCAGGGAGGTGGATTGGAAACGGAACAGCTGGAACTTGAACTGAAACTCACATATGGGATGCTGGAGTCACAGACAGCAGCTTACCCCACTGCGCCATAAAGCCGGCCCGCCAGTACGTTTTAAATCCTTCATCCCAAAATTATGATCTAGCCTCAATCTAACTTTCTGGCTGCAAGTCTTACATAACATGTGTCAATAAAAGCAGACAAATCATCATTTCCTGGAGCTCTCCCTGCACTTCTTTGTATAAGCCCATGTATTCCTTCTTGCTAGAAGTCACCCCAACTCCAGCTCTTCAGACTTTCAATGCTCAACCTGGCTGTTTTGATCAATTAATGATTTTCTCCATCTATGTCCTCACATCAAATCTGAGTTTACTTGTCACCTCTTATATAAACTTTATCTCTTATTTTCTGATACATCTTACCCAACCCTCTAGATTATAAATACTCTTAAAACAGCCATATTATCTCATTCATCTTTCTATCTCCCATAGTGTTTATCAAAATAGTTTATAAAATTATGGTATATAAACATAATGGAACACTACTCAGTTGTAAAAAAAAAAAATGAAATTCTGTCTTTTACAACAAAATGGATGCAACTGGAAACCATTATACTTAGTGAAATAAGCCAGTCCCCAAAAGACAGATACCATATGTTTTCCCTTATCTGTGGTAACTAATAGAGTACCTATAATATAACTTATTAGAGTGAAATGGACATTTTGAGATTTAATAATTGTTCACAGCCCTTGTTGCTACTGTTAAACAGTGTTTTTTCTTCATACTTTTTGTTGACCTCTTTACTTAGTGTAGGGTTAATCATAAGAGTCTAAAGTAAACTGAAAATAGATATTTGTAGAAATTAGGAGTGGGAATAGGAGAGGGAGGAGGAAGAAGCGTGGGAGTGTGAGCTGGAGGAAGGGTAGGGTGGAAAATATCACTATGTTCCTAAATCTGTATATATGAAATCTATGAAATTATTTACCCTAAATAAAATTTTAAGAAAATAAAAAAACAATGTGGCTTATATAAGTCATTAAATATTTGTATTTTAAATTGTTAATAAAGGGACTGATATTGTGAAGCAAAAGTTTAAGCCACCATCTACAATGCCCACATCCCATATGAATACCAGTTTGAGTCCAGCTGCTCCGTTTCTGGTCCAGCTCTCTAAAATACTCCTGAGAAAGCAGCAGAAGATGGCCTAAGTGTCTGGGTCCCTGACACCCGCATGGGAGAGCCACATGGAGCTCGTGGCTTCTGGCTTTAGCTTGGCCCAGATCTAGCCACTGCAGCCATTTGAGTAGTGAAACAGTGGATGGAAGATCTCTCTCTCTCTCTCTCTTACTCTGCCTTCCAAATCAATAAATAAATCTTTTAAAAATTATATATAATCAACATTATTTAGTAGTTTGAATTTAATTAAATTTACTGACTTGTGTGGTTAATAAGCAATCTAATATTGTCTTAGAACTTCATATATCTAAATCAATATATAGCAGACTTCTGTGAAGCAATAATGAAAATCTATGGATATTTCAATAATATCTGTATTTTTTTCTGCAGACTTTAAATTATTCATTTCATGTCAACCTCATGTAAAACTAATCAACAAAGCAGAAACCTAAATTACTACAAGAATATAAGTAAAAGACATCAGATCACTGAAGAAAATATATTTTAAAAATAGCTTATATTCAAAACCAATCACACCCACAAAATATATAGAAGCTCATTTTAAAAAATTCTGCTTTAATTTCCAAAATGGAAATGAGAAAAATCAATATGGCATTGTAATGATAATTGGCAGCATGCTACTATTCAATTGAGGCATGTAATCATCGAGTGCAATGAGCTATTTTCTCTAAAGGCTCTCAATAATCAGTGGGGTGGTGGTAGAGGGATAAAGGGACATCAGCTCAAACTATTATATACTGTATTTAATGTATAACACAGAGAAATCAGCAGATATCATTACACTGCAATGTAACTTGCATCAACCTCAACATAATAGAAATTCTGACCAAATTTATGTATATGGCCATCTACATTTGCTTTAGCATTTGGAGAAAGAAAATAATCAGCAGTTTCTTTAAATTTAACTTACAATTTGCTTTCAAAATTCTAAATTTTACTCAACTTCTCTTTATACTTAGTGCTATTAAAATGACTAGGATTATTTTGGTCTTAGTACAGAGAAGTATTTGATGTAAGAGTTTGATTTGTATTTGTTCATTTGAAATCAGTCAGCCACACATTCCAGGCTGTTGCAAATTGTGTAGTTTATGGTACCTTGGTTTCATTCAATGAAAACTTCCATTGCTCTTATGGAAAAAAAAGGTACAATCAGAAAACATCAGCATGAGGAGGAAGGGCCTATTTGTTACAAACTAGGCAGTGAAAAGTCTTAACTGAGAATATTTTAGACTAATGGGCAGAGGAGATCTTGTAAGTGTCTTCAGAACTTCAAAAGTGGAGGGAATAGGAGCCTAAAAGGAGATTATTGCTGAGGAGATAAAAATAATGATGGGGCAGTATGATGACACTCAACAAGATAAAGAGTACCTATGGCCAGACATATCTTTTTCCTTTTTCTCTTGCCAAACACTGTTGCTCTTTCAGGCATCAAATACTTCATGGCCTATAGCCAAATACTAACTGCCCTTTGTCTCTCTCTTTCTCTTTCTCTCCCGCTAACCCCTTTTTTTTTTTTTTTTTTTTTTTACAGGCAGAGTGGACAGTGAGAGAGAGAGACAGAGAGAAAGGTTTTCCTTTTTGCCGTTGGTTCTCCCTCCAATGGGCACCGTGGCCAGCGTGCTGTGGCCGGTGCACCGCGCTGATCCGATGGCAGGAGCCAGGTGCTTCTCCTGGTCTCCCATGGGGTGCAGGGCCCAAGCACTTGGGCCATCCTCCACTGCACTCCCTGGCCACAGCAGAGAGCTGGCCTGGAAGAAGGGCAACCGGGATAGAATCTGGCGCCCCGACCAGGACTAGAACCCGGTGTGCTGGCGCTGCAAGGCGGAGGATTAGCCTAGTGAGCCAGGGCGCCGGCCCCCTAACCCCTCTATAAACACATGCGCACATGCTCACACGCACATAACTATTTCAGAAAGTTCATGGGAAAAAATGAAATTAAAAGATAAGTTCATCTTGGTGTAAAACTTTTGAAATACATACATGTTTTTTCCCAATACACATTTTCCATGAACATTTTTGAAGATCCTTCATATACATGAGTTTTAGTCAGTATAAAAGTGGCCAGGAAATTGTAAGGCAGTTTAAAAAAAATATTGTTAGGGGCCAGCGCTGTGGCATATGCTGCAGCCTGTGGCAAGGGCATCCCATATGGGTACTGGTTTGAGTCTAAGCTGCTCCAAGTCCAGTGCAGCTCCCTGCTTATGCACCTGGGAAAGCAGCAGGTGA